CTCAGATTCCTTGCGTAATGACGTTTTGTTGCTTGGTCGTAAATAATATCAGAAACACTGTCGAAAAGGAGGGAACGAGGCTTATAAAGATCAAAGCTATTACGTTGGATTCCTCAGATTGTCCTCATAACTCGTTTTACATCGTAACTCTTTTTTTCCTTCATCTAATGCCACATCTGCATCTTGCGTTTCGGTTTTTTCCTCGTCGAGTTCTGTGCACTTACGGATGCAACATCTTCCCATGGTTTTTGTAGCCTCCGGTTTCGGTTAATCCTCGGACTCGAACGAAATTGATCGGAATTTTTCGCATTCTGTGGATTCTATTCCCCCAAAAAGCTTGGTCCAACGCCGTTTTTTCTAGCGCCAACACTCGATGACATCAAACAAGTTTGTTTCTCATAGGAAGAAAAAACAGATTCCTCACAAGCAACAGAGCGCCCAATCAACATCAAGTCTGCGCATTTTTGTTTTGTTTTTCTCCCGATTCCTCAATTGCATTAATTTAAAGAAGCCTTCCTAGGTTTTGCTCGAGTTGAAATATTGAATCAAGCACACAGACTAAAAATATACTTGGACGGCTCAAGAATTTTCATTTAATTTTTCGTTTCATTTGATACGTGCAGTCTAGTGTGCACTGGACAAAAACCACATAGGATCTAGAGTCCAGACTCTTAAAAACATGGACAAGAAAAAATACTCTTGATTCAATCAGAATCTAGCTTAAATCAAGAACCAAGCCTCTTAATTTGAGCGGATTTCCTTTTGATTCAAGCAAAAATCTGATTGAATCAAGAGTCCTTTTTCTTGTCAATGTTTTCAAGGGTCTGGACTCTAGATCCAACGTGTTTTTTTTTCCCAGTGCGTATTTTCCAGTTTGAGAAGCAACCATTAAGTCTAACGTATTAAACGTCGAAATGATTTTTATCAGATCCCAAAAGACAACTTGTGTCTTAAGCGTAGCAATATTCTTGAAACCGATTGACTCATAACAGACATGAACACCCTCGAAGAAAGAGAAATAAAGTCGCAGAACCAACAGTGGCAAAGCGTGTATAATCTATTATCGATGTTTCCCCATTTGCAGCTATGGTATAGAATCGATTTTTAGGTGCTTGTTGCGAGCACCCTGTCTATCGATCCTTTTCCATAGATTTAAATGGCAGATCAATCGGAGTATCGCAAAACACACAACGCCACTGGTAACCAACACACCTTGTACCTCCGGAGACTTTAACGCTAGTGTAGGAAAGAAGACGTCATCAACAGAGGCCATCGTTACCTCAGTTTTAATTCTCAATTGTTAAGACTTGATCGCAAAACTTTAGAGGTAATGATGAATGGAAATATGTATCACTAAGGGGTGCGTACCCCAATCGCTACGCAGGCCAGCCCGTCAGGATAGCTTTTTGGGTCAGTTTTTAACAACATTAAGAGAACGGGCTCATCTAGAGCTGTTGATGACAGCAAAAATAATGGAAATCGGCCCAGTAGATCTCAGGTCACTGCATCGCTTAGTTTACTAATTTTTAGTAATTAATTATTTAGCGGGCCGCAAATTGTGGCCACTTAACTCAAATAATTTTCGGGGTCCTGAAAATCTAAAATCAACTACATTTGCCGTCCGTTAACTTTTCAGCGTTGGTTTGTTTTTATTTAACCGGACTTTTCCCTATAGATAAAATGTTAGTTTATTTTTGCGATCTCAGTGTTCCATGTAAAACCCGATCTTTTGGCTGTGTTCCGGAAACCACCTGTGACCAGTGACGTGGCATGGCGTGCTTTGCGATATCTCGAGTCATTCAAACCTATGAAAAAGGATCGATGAACAGGGTGTTATCTATCGCCTTAATAATCGATTCTTAAACGTAGCTTCAAATGGAGAAATATCGATAATCGATCATTCACGCCTCGCCACGGGCTTTGACCACCAATAATCGTTGAGACCGCACCGAAGTGTAGTCTATTGCAAGTGCACATTTGTTATCGCAGTGGTAAAATAATGTTTTTACTTTACACGACAACAGTGCAAAGGAGCATGGATTTTCTCGGAATTTCTATCCAGATTATTATCCGAGACAGTTAAAAAATGCTCTCACCGCAGTAACACTATCATTTGCAGACATTAAGCTTCATCAAGAACCCGGCAGGGCGGTAATATATATAAAGAAAGTGAAATGTGTAACAGATGCGCGCGAATCCTAGGATTTTATGCTCGAGTGAGAAAACGACGGAATTGCGTAAGATCCTCGTAAAGAATTTTTATCCTTTAAGTTGTCTCGTGCAATGTCCGCGCTTAAGAATTTGAGCCAAACAATTAGTTCTCACCTCTGAACACGAGAACTACATACAAACAGGATCTTCATTTTATGTCCCCAAAATCTAAGTACTTCGACCAGTGGGCTGGTTATTGAAATTGATGGACAAAGCTATTGACGAAGAAGACACATTGAAAATAAAGCGAGCCTGTTGGTGGAAGTTGATGACTGCAGTAGACAAAGTATGTAAGAAATAGACGAACCAAGAGCAACCCGTGAGAGACCCTATATACTCAGTCCGTAATGTCCTCCCTTAGTCTATGATAACTACCCGTTTCAACCAATTGGACCGTTCCATGTTTCGTATATCCTCTTTGTCTATAGCTTTGTATATCAATTTCAATTATCAGCCCGCAGGACCGAAACGATGTTTAAGGGGCTTGAAGAACAACGCGCAGAAGCGCAGTTCTTGACAAAATTGAGGTATTCATGGTTTCAACTAAAACTAGTCTCACACTATATTTTGCGAAAAATTCATGACTAATTTACAATTGTTTAACATCAAAACGTGAGTGAAAACTTATACTTGTATTTCTCGAAATTGCAACAACTGCATTTATCCCACTTGTTCTCCAGGACCCTCAACTATATTTTCACTGTCCAGTGTCAAAAGTTTACCTTTGCTACCGTCCGTAGTAAACTTCCGTGGCTCAAGGTGTTGTTTTTGATCCCTGGTAGAAAGAATTATGCACCAACCATAGAATTTTGCGAGACAAGATTTCTCGATTATCGTTGGGAGTGTAAAACTTAAAAAAAATAATTTCAGTTCTCAAGTATAACTTTATTTTTCATAGGCGTGTCTGTTTTCCATTCATTTAAATGAAGATTTACTCCATGAGTTGCGTTTTGTGTGACTTTACAACACTCGAAGAAAAAATTAAGTATCATAATAAATGTCGACTGAGTCAGCAATTATGGATGACGCGATAAAGTTCACGATCTAGTTATTAGGTTGATACAATAATTGAGCAATTGGAATATGGGTCTCAGCTTAATGATTTATCTATCCTAATCTATTGCGAATATTTTCGAAATCGTCCATCGAGTTCGCTATTTCTAAAAGCCTGTCTAGTTATAATGGTTACTCCTTTAATTTTTACTCCTTTATTTTATGAAAAGAACACCTAACATCGAAATAATTACTTTTGGTAGCTCATTTATCAATACAGAAAGCATACCTTCTCCTGAAAGATCGTTTTCGATACATCAAATAGGTGAGACTCTATCGACATTGATTGGTTCAACATGGAAACATAGCCTCAAAAGTCAATCGAGTAATCGGAGGAAACGGGGTTTTTCTGATGAATTTTTTATTCCTATGAGTACTAAATGGCATCGCAAGTTGAAATAGTAATGAATTTTCTCATTTTAAGCTTTTCCGACTGAAATCCTGAAAGTTTCGTTCGAGAGGTTATGTTCTGTTGTTTTGAACCAAACGATACATCGAACCACTATTGAAAACGATCTTTTAAGCTTGCCAAAAGGTCTAAATCCCTTAAATCCGACAACTTCCGCGGTGAACCAAGTTTTTATCTCTCGTTGGCAGCAATGCGTAGGCCGAAATTTTGAATCCGTCTATCTGATTAAGGCTACTCCCAATTGATCTTCTCGTCAAAATATTTTGTCGAATCGGCGTAGGTTCAACTAATTCCTCAAAACCCACGCACACAATGTCCAAATTCATCTCTTTTAATTTTGCATCGAATGTCAGCCTGTCACCGTTTCTGAAAGACTTTCGACCGTCTCAGGTTAAAGGTAGAGTAGTTGAGCAGTGCAAGATGGACATTGATACGTACATTGTAACACTGGGAAAAAAACACATTGGATCTAGAGTCCAGACTCGTGAAAACATTGACAAAAAAAGGACTCTTGATTCAATCAGATTTAAGTTTAAATCTAAAGGAAATCCGCTCAAATTAAGAGGCTTCGTTCTTGATTTAAGCTTAAATCTGATTGAATCAAGAGTATTTTTTTTGTCGATGTTTTTAAGAGTCTGGACTGTAGATCCAATGTGTTGTTTTTTTTCCAGTGTAATGGTTTGTTCCGATGTGCTTGCTTCCCATCAGTGTCGATTTCACAAGTTGGTAACATCGTTTTTCCTCAATTTAAATCCATTAATAATATCAAAATAATCGATTGTTTTGCATACATTTAAATGTAGGAAAAACAGTGTTGCCAAGTTTCAAGAATCGCTTTGTATTCTATTGAACTTGAGAAGAAAGTTTTCTCTCATCCGAAATTTATTACAATCGGTTTGAAATTGTGGAAGAGTTTAATGCGAAAACTAATTCTAATAATGGCGTTAAACGAGTTTTATTACATTCGATTTCGAAAAAAAAAATGAGGAGAATAAACGGGTTCCACAATGATAATAAGTCATGAGATACCGGTAATCATCCTATTAATGGGACGAGCCTCTAATTGCGCGGATGTTAACCAGGTTGCCACATGTTTTGTTACATTACAAAGTGTGTATTCTTCTTCTACTATTATCTCATTCCTCACATTTTTGAAATAAACAAATGCAATGAAAATCCTTAACCAGCTGATCACATGTCTTTACTTTATAAGCAGCTGAACTAAACGTTCATGGTTGTCTTTCAATATTAAAACTAACCTTTTTTTGGAGCATTTCAACAAATGAACGAGAAACGTAATGAAATTAACTCTGTGACCCTTTTTTTTCTTCTAAAATTTCCTTGAAGCCACAGGAAGCAATTCATCTTCCTCCCTCATTCATAACTGTACAATTTATCAAAATTCAGAGGTGCTTACAAAGATAACTGAAAATTAATCTGTTAGTGGGAAATTCATATTAGCACATTATCTTCTCCATGTTTAAGAATCAAAGATGTTAATTCTAAATTTTTTTTATGAAAGAAAAGATTTGTCGTTATCTTTTCTCCTAAGAGAAATTGATGGCGTTTTGTAAGATCATTAAAATCCGAGCGGAAACTTTGAAAGATAAAGTAATGATTCATCTTTTTTCGTAGCATCGTCATGTTTTGCGTAAGATAGTCCTTTCAAATTCGAAGCAGCTGGTTTATCATGAAACACATTGCTGCTAGTAATTTTTGGAAAGGATGTCCTGTCCGAAGCCAAGAGGCACTCTGAAACGTTAGGTTGTGCCTTGTCACGCTAAGAACTTCGGGACTTCAAGAAGTCGTGTGGGAAATTCATATGCTTCCTCCGTTATCACTTATTTAACAATTTTTTTTCTTTCTTAAAGGCCTTTTTAACTGTTTTTATTTTTTTCCTCCTCGCAACTGGCGGTTGTCCCTTTCATGTTGTTTTTGTTGATTATGAAGTAAACATTTTCAAATTTTAGGCATTTTCATGGCTGGAATCAAAATTAAAAATAAGTTTTATGTTAATTTCCGTTTGATCGCACATCGGTCGCGGCTCTAGATTCGCGCCTGGTTCGGTTTTTCGTTTTCTTGTCACCTAGCAGCTAGAGTTTGGCTGTCCGATGACCGAGTGACCGGTTGCTCATTTTCTGGTAATCGAGCAACCGGTGTTAGATTTTCTGATGACAGAGTGGCTAGTCGTTCGTTTCCTTTTGATCTTGTGACCGGTTGTTGATTCTCTGACAATCGCGCGGCCGCTGTTGAGTTTTCTGAAGACCGAGCTGCTGGTTTGGCTGAATCTTCATTTTCTTTCAACTGAGCGGCCGGTGTTTGGTTTCCTGATGGTGACCGAGCCGCTGGTTTGACATTTGATGGTGGCTGGGTGGCTGTTTCCTCTATTTCCGCCATTTGAGCAGCTGGTGTTTGGTTTTTAGACAATCGAGTGCCTACATGCTCGTTTACTGGTGACTTTGTGGCCGGTGTTTGGTTCGCAGCTGACCGCGCGGCTGGTTGGTTTTTCAATGGTACCTGCGCGGCCTCTTCCTCAATTTCTGGCAACCGAGCAGCCGTTGTTTGGTTTTCTGATGACCGAAATGCTGGTCGCTCGTTCTCCGATGACTTGGCGGATGTTATCTGGCCCTCTGATGATTGAAAAGCTGATCTTTCATGCCCCGGTATTATGGTGGCCGAGTGCTCATTTTCTTGTAACCGAGCAGTCGGTGTTTGGTTTTCTGACGACTGCGAGATTTGTTTTTTACCTTCTGGTGCTTGGGCAACTGATTGATCATTCCCTAGCGATTCCGTGGTTGCGCTCTCGTTCTTAAACGATCGGGAAACCTGCGTCTCGTTTCCTGCCGACCGGGCTGATTGCTCGTGTTCGGGAGATTTGGTAGCTGATTGCTTGTTCTTTGGTAATCGGGAGGTCGGTTCCTGGTTCTCTGATGCCTGAGTGGCTAGTTCCTCGTGTTCTTGTGACCGTTTACTCGGTGAAGCCTGAAAAGGCCGCTCCCCATTCTCATTGGAAGACTTTCTTTCGTGCCTTCGTGCGTTAGTGGAAGGTTCGGAGGGACCAGCGGTAGCGTCTTTCGAGGATCCTCCAGGACCATTCCGTGCCGGATCATCGGGGGGTTGAGAGGAACTAGATGAAAGACTGACATCATGGGAGACGGTGTCCTGGCGTGGCACGAACCTCTTAGTCGTGGATTTAATCTGATTGGGCGATGGGAATTGTGGAGGTGACTGAGGCGGTTTCGGTGGGAGCTGTGGAGGCGATTGAGGCGGTTTCTGCGAAACCTGTGGAGGTGACTGAGGCGGATTCTGCGAAACCTCTGGAGGCGATTGAGGCGGCTTCTGCGGAACCGGTGGAGGTGACTGAGGCGGTTTCTGCAAAATCTGTGGAGGCGATTGAGGCGGTTTCTGCGAAACCTGTAGAGGTGACTGAGGCGGTTTCTGCGGGAACTCTGGAGGTGACTGAGGCGGTTTCTGCGAAACCTCTGGTGGAGACTGAGGCGGATTCTGCGAAACCTCTGGAGGTGATTGAGGCGGTTTCTGCGGAACCGGTGGAGGTGACTGAGGCGGTTTCTGCGAAATCTGTGGAGGCGATTGAGGCGGTTTCTGCGAAACCTGTGGAGGTGACTGAGGCGGATTCTGTGAAATCTGTGGAGGTGATTGAGGCGGTTTTTGCGGAACCGGTGGAGGTGACTGAGGCGGTTTCTGCGAAACCTCTGGAGGTGACTGAGGCGGTTTCTGCGGGAGCTCTGGAGGTGACTGAGGAGGTTTCGGCTGGTACTGAGGCTGGAAGAACTTGGTGTCGATCGTGGGGAGGGCGCCGTACATGAGTAGCTCGAGAAGGAGAAGTGGCGAGCGGCGCCTCATCTTGACGATGCCACGATCGCCCCAGTGCTCGTTCCACGAGTTGATGCACAACCAGTAAGGGATCCCTTTCTCGGTGCCCCAGCCGATGATCTTCACCGTGTGACCCCGCGCGGTGCCCTGCGGCGAGAGGAAGAGCGAAGCCATCGGCTCGTATACCCCTGCAACGGAAAGAAATCGGGGGCTTTGAAATTAAGCTCTTCATCTACGATATAATTCGGAGTATATTGAAAGATTAGTATGGCACATTTCGTCACTCTCCTGACGTAAGGGCGTATCTCAATTTTTGCATGAGCCGCGGATAGCATATAGTTGCACAGAGAACAAGGTTCACGCAAAAATCGAGATACGCCCTTACGTTAGAGAAGCGACGATTTCGTCGTAACCCGCACGAAGAAACGTAATTTCATTCCAAGGTTTGAAAATTGACTCAAACAATTCAATTTCTTACAGGTATGTATCTGAGCAATTTTTTCTCAAAATTTTTCCGATTCTTGCATGAGAACAGGAGAAATATCGGGAAAATTTGTAGGTAGAAATGTCCAAGGTTCTCCGGTGAAAATGCAAATTACGAGGGCAAATTTGGCAACATTGAAATGCAGTTACGTTCTTTAGTGAGTGAAACGACGAGAAAGTGCTCAATCGACCGATCGCGGAGCAAATGTGAAGGCACCTGGTGGACGGGGGAAAAATGTGATTGCAGAATGCATATGTCGCAGGCTAAAGGTCAAATCCGGCATTTAGGCAAGCATAGAGTCCTTCGGTGATGGCACCATATTCGTGTCACTGAATCTTATCCATACTCTATTTAAGTGTACGGAAAAGTATGGACGAGATTAGAAGTCATGCAGAATATGCTTGATCTTGAGTCGTAATGTAATTTAAAAGAAATCTTGACCTTTTTTTCCCAATACTTGAAAAAAAGAGGGCAAATCACGAAGAAAAAATAATGGGAACGCAAATTAAGCCGTAGGTATTATTAGTTCTCACCTGATTTGTACAGAAAAAAATCCTCGTGTACTTGAAACTGGGTTGATAAAGGTCCGTACGTCATAATGTCTTTCTGGATCCATTTCTCATTCGTGCCCAGCTTATAAATGGTATTAACTATTTTTAGACAGATAAGAATTGAATTATAACAGAAAAGATAACATAAATAAGCACATTTGACAATCCTAGGATATTTTACTCAGTAGGAAGTGAAACCCCAAAAAGGTGCATTGTTGCATGTGCATGTGCTTCCCAATTTCTCAAGTTTGGTTCTAAATTTAATTTTTTCTAGAAGCCGCTCAGCGAATCGGTTTTTAGAAAGTTGGGAAATATATTACATTTTTAAATCAATACCAGCCCCAGGCACCTTTCATTTTGTTTCACTAAATCTGAAAAAAATCGAAGAAATTATGTTCCCAAAGCTTTATGTTAATATGTTTTAAAAGTGAAGTAGGCTCACTGAAAATTTTAGCAAGATGTTGATTATTTTTCTTTCTCAAAAGATGAAAAATGAGTGGAAAAACTTGATCGTAATCTAAAAAACGTGATTCTCTACTTTAACAATAGGTATGTTTTATTACGTGAAGTCTTGTTGTCAACATGCAAAGTTACTATCTTGAGGGAGCTCAAAATAAATGTGTTCTCTTCTCCTTTCTCCGAGTAGTGGCGTTACGTGCTTTGCTTTATATCGATTGACCTGCTATTTCAACCTGTGGAAAAGGATCGATAAATAGGGTGTTCGCAACGAACCACTCAATAATCGATTCTTTGTCNCGATCGCCCCAGTGCTCGTTCCACGAGTTGATGCACAACCAGTAAGGGATCCCCTTCTCGGTGCCCCAACCGATGATCTTCACCGTGTGACCCCGCGGGGTGCCCTGCGGCGAGAGGAAGAGCGAAGCCATCGGCTCGTATACCCCTGCAACGGAAAGCAATCGGGGGCTTTAGAATGAAGCTCTTCATCTACGATATAGTTCGGAGTATATTGAAAGAAAAACATGACATATTTCGTCCCTCCCCTGACGTAAGTGCGTATCTCAATTCTTGCATGAGCCGCGGATAGCATATAGTTGCACAGAGAACAAGGTTCACGTAAAAATCGAGATATGCCCTTACGTCAGGGGAGCGACGATTTCGTCGTAACCCGCACGAAGAAACGTAATTTCATTCCAAGGTTTGAAAATTGACGCAAACAATTTAATTTTTTACGGGAATGTACCTGAGCAATTTTTTCTCAAAATGCCTCTGATTTTTTAATAAGAACAGGAGAAATATCGGAAAAATTTGTAGGTAGAAATAGCCAAGGGTCTCCGGTGAAAATGCAATTTACAGGAATGTACCTGAGCAATTTTTTCTCAAAATGCCTCTGATTTTTTAATAAGAACAGGAGAAATATCGGAAAAATTTGTAGGTAGAAATAGCCAAGGGTCTCCGGTGAAAATGCAATTTACGAGGGCAAATTTGGCAACATTGAAATGCAGTTACGTTCTTTAGTGAGGGGAACGACGATTTCAGAGGTGCAGAAAGTGCTCAATCGACCGATCGCGGAGCAAATGTGAAGGCACTTGGTAGAAGGGAGAAAAATGTGATGGCAGAATGCATAATTAGCTAAGCGCATAGATTTTTGAGTGAAAACTGTGTGGCGCTCTCTTATGCGAAGAAAGTTGTTAAGTGCGATCGTGTATGCGAAGGAAATGGTGAAGCGCGCCCTGTACGCACTGGAAAAAAAACACGTTGGATCTAGAGTCCAGACTCTTAAAAACATCGACAAGGAAAAATACTCTTGATTCAATCAGATTTAAGCTTAAATCAAGAACCAAACCTCTTAATTTGAGCGGATTTCCTTTTGATTTAAGCTTAAATCTGATTGAATCAAGAGTCCATTTTCTTCTCAATGTTTTCAAGAGTCTGGACTCTAGATCCAATGTGTTTTTTTTTTTTTTTTCCAGTGTGCGAAGGATGCAGTGAAGCGCGCAAGTTTCATGTGGACAGCATTGTGAAGGCGACCTCCAAAAATGCGAAGGCGAGGAACTTTTTGCACCCCTGAGAAATTTTACCAGAAGTCTGTAAAATCTTTCATGAGTCCCTCATGATTTTTAACACAGCGATGTTGATGTTGTAAGGCAGCGCAGCGCGTACCATACTTTTGGTGATTGCTAATCAAGTTACGGTATTTTCTAGCATAGAGTCCTTCGGTGATGGTACCGTATTCGTATCACTGAATCTCATCCATACTTTATTTAAGTGTACGGAAAAGTATGGACGAGATTAGAAGCCATGCAGAATATGCTTGATCTTGAGTCGTAATGTAATTTAAAAGAAATCTTGACCTTTTTTTCCAATACTTGAAAAAAAAGAGGGCAAATCACGAAGACAAAATCATGGAAACGCAAATGAAGCCTTAAGTATTATTAGTTCTCACCTGATTTGTACAGAAAAAAATCCTCGTGTACTTGAAACTGGGTTGATAAAGGTCCATACGTCATGATGTCTTTCTGGATCCATTTCTCATTCGTTCCCAGCTTATAAATGGTATTAACTTTTTTTTAGACAGATAAGAATTGAATTAGAACAAAAACGATAACATAAATGAGCACATTTGGCAATCATAGGATAATTTACTCAGTAGGTATAGTAAAACCCCAAAAAGGTGCATTGTTGCATGTGCATATGCCTCCCAATTTCTCAAGTTTGGTTCTACATTTAAGTTTTTCTGGAAGTCGCTCAGCGATTTGGTTTTTAGAAAGTTGAGAAATGTATTAAATTGTTAAATCAATACCAGCCCCAGGCACCTTTCATTTTGTTTCACTAAATCTGAAACAAATCGAAGAAATTATCTTCTCAAAGCTTTATGTGAATATGTTTTAAAAGTGAAGGAGGCTCACTGAAAATTTTAAGCAAGATGTTGATTATTTTTCTTTCTCAAAAGATGAAAAATGAGTGGAAAAACTTGATCGTAATTTAAAAAACGTGATTCTCTACTTTAACAATCGGTATGTTTTATTACGTGAAGTCTTGTTGTCAACATGCAAAGTTACTATCTTGATTGGTACTAATTGCGTCCTTTTTTGTTGAGATCCTTGAATTAGGAGCTCAAAAGAAATGTGTTCTCTTCTCCTTTCTCCGAGTAGTGGCGTGGCATGCTTTGAGATATATTGATTGACCTGCTATTTCAATCCGTGGAAAAGGATTGATAAATAGGGTGTTCGCAACGAACCACTCAATAATCGATTCTTTGCCATAGCTTTAAGCGGGGAAATATCGATAATAATCGATCATTCACGCTTCGCCCCCGCACTAAAGTATATGCCCGAGCAAAAAATCTTCTTCTCCTCCCTGTAGTCGTCAACGACTTTATGCACTTTAAGCATCAGACTCAAGCAATAATTTTTTACGTTTGTGCCGAGCGTTTCCTTAACGCGATATAATTAAGGTATTGTACGCCCTGATAATACGCTTAGGCGCGAAATGATCATTGACATTAAGGAATAAAGGTAAAACTTTGTCCACTTTTTCTGCATCACTGGCAATATATGTATAATTTTTCTTTAAGCGCGATTGGATGTCGTCACGGTTTAGCCGAATGTTAACTCCTCCTTTAATTAGCTCTTTGATCTTTTTGGAGAATTCTGGTCGATCAGATTTACCGCGTTTTCTTTGGCCCGACCGCACGGAATCTTCAAAAATAGTCTAAATAGTTTTATGAATGAAGATATCTCCCATCGAAGAAGGAGGAGCTTACATTTTCTGAGATCATCTTTAAATTCAACGCCGTATTTATCGTTGGTACATTTCGTTTTGCAGACTGGAATCTTCTGCTGCGTTCGGCTGCAAGGTGTGAAAGGTCCGATACCGTGGTGGGCACACTTGGGCATAAAATAAGGTTGACAGCCCTCCTCCGACCCAAAAGTCCCGCCGCTCACAAGCCCATGTTTCCGCATAAACTGATATGCCTCGGCTGGCATCCTATCAAAATGAGAAAAAAAAAACACGAATCAGGCAAATTAATTAGCAAATGATCAAGAATTTGGTCCAAATCAAGGCTGAGCTTGACTCACACCTCGCACGGATAAAAATGTAATCGTAGTACTAAAGTAGCAGTGGCGAGTGGGTGGTGAATGATTCGATCGTCGATATTTCCCCATTTCAGCTGTGTGAAAAAATTGATTGTGAAGGTGTCCGTTCGAACACCTTGTTCATCGATCCTCTTCCGTAGGTTTAAATGGCAGGTCAATCTATATATCGCAAAGCACCGCCACTGCAAATCAATAGTTCCTTAACTAATTCATGGTACAGCCGTAACCATTACTCTCTGATTATGCAACTGATTTCTGTTAATATTATCGCTTTATGCAAAAAAGGAACTTTTATCAGTGATTATGGCTAACATTAAGAGTTCACATGGAGATACGCTGCTAATTCAAGAAATTTCATAATCACAGTTTCTTCTCAGTGCTTCCCTTTCTCAGAAAATTTTGGAATCAAGGTAAAGCAAATATAGTCAGGGAATTTAAGGATAAAGAAATTGCGGCAACCCCGATAAGATAGAGGAATTAAGTGATTTTGTAGCTTATTTTTGATTTCTTACCCGCCTTTGCAGCCTCGCCTGTAGCGCATGATGGCACAGTCCAAGATTTCCTGAGTTGAGAGCCTAATATTATGGCGTCCCCCTGAGGCTATGCAGTACCGATCGGTGGCTACTTGTGCAGGTGCCATAGCCTGAAATGCCACATACAATACTAACTTAAACTGCTTTCAATTTGCATCTTCTTCTATAATATCAGTATCATCGATCATTTTTTAACTTTCCATCCTAAAAGCGCCTACATATTCATTCTATTTAGGGTCTTAGGGCCGTCCTCGTAATAACTTTGAAGGGTTCGAGTGAAATGCACAAAGTTTCCTTCCTTCCT